ATCCAAAATTTCAATGTAATGATCTTCGAGCCACTTCTTTGCTTTGTGACATGGTGCTCCATCATGCTGGAAAATCGGATCATCACCAAATTGCTCATGGATCTTTGGAAGAAGTCGCTCTTGCAGGACGTTTTGATACCATTCTTTATTTATGGCAGTGTTGTTGGGCAGAATTATGAGAGTGCCCACTTCCTTGGTTGAAAAGCAACCCCACACATGGATGGTCTCAGGATGCTTCACTGTTGGCACAACACAGGACTCATGGTAGCGTTCACCTTTTCTTCTCCGAACAATCGATTCTACAGATATCCCAAACAGTCAGAAGGGAGCTTTATCAGAGAAAACAACTTTCTCACATGTGCTGCTGATATGATTAGTCAATTAATGTTAGCTGGTCATTTTGTGTCAGGATCAAAAAACTGTGAATTTAGTTTTTGTGTGAAAAGTTCATTTTTTGGCCAATGAAGCTTTTAGCAATTATTTAACACTCTACACAATAATCTAGAAACAATGTGAATAAACAGCTTACGCAGCAAACTTTGCAAAACACAAAATGTATGTCACTGCCAAAACTTTTGGCCATGACTGTATGTGTGTGTGTATATATATATATATATATATATATTTGGGTGCATTATGCAAATATTTAATATTATTACTGTTTTACTTTATTTTTGATCAACCATTCTCTTCTCTTCTCTTCTCTTCTCTTCTCTTCTCTCATTGTGAGAAGATAATGTTAAAGCCATTATTTACATAATAAATGTGCTGTGGTGTTGTAATTTTAAGATTGTTTGTGACTGAGATGAAGCAAGAGAGCAGCAGTCTGTTATTGTACAACAGTAGCAAAATTGCTTTTGAAGCTGAATATGTTGCACTTCAATCACATACCTTGGATTTTCTTAACTTTGTCAACCGGTTCCACGTAACTGGGTTATGTTGCATTTAATTAACATCATTTATTTCAGTTTATTACATAATGTTAATTCAATGCCATTTAATTGAATCCGGTTAACATTCTTAAATTAATCCAAAACTATTAAATTCAGTTATCCTAACATTAATATCAAACAAAAATTAAAACAAGTAATCCAATTTAATTTATTAGTTTATTTAATGAATGCAAGTGCAATTTTTTACAAAAGTTATCTGACAAGAACAACTTCCACAAAATCTTTGCTCTGTAAAGATTTGTATTGTTAGTCATAACATGGTTTTGTCACATCCATGGCATGCCCAAAGTAATTGTTTATTATTATTATTAAAACAACTTTAATTCTTGTTAGCAGGTCCTCAACCCAAGCACATGCTCTACACTTCACCACAATGGTAACCCCCAAAAACAATATACCAGAAACTCTTTTAAATACAAACATAAAAGAACATGAAACATCTCCCAATTTTATCATCTGGATAAAAAAAAAATGCATAAAATAACATTTTATTTCAACATTTACTCTCTCTATCCAGCCCTGTGCAAAGCATGATTGGAAGGGGAAATCCTGTTCCTAATTACACAACTAAAATCATTTATGTACTTTCAACTCAAATTAATTAAGTAAAGTGGTTGAAAAGAATTGTGTTGGATTAACTTCATTTACTTTACAAGCATCAAATGTTATTTTTGGCCTACTTAATTGAAACATGTTCTTTCAAAATGAGCCAAAATGCAACTGTTTCAAGTCAGTTTACCACAATGCAATTGTTTAAATGAGAAACCTAATACAATGGTGTTAAATGAAAATGAATTTAAATAAACTGAACTAAATAATCTTTAAGTATGCTGTCTGTTTCCGCTGCCTACAGTATATATGGAAGATCTATAATTCCGGTATATTGTTTTTCCAACCGGTGATGTTAGCATGGACAGTCCCCTCTCCACTGGCACATGATGAGGGAACATGTTGCACCCATTCACACGTCTTCTCTACAAGACCCCTCACCATCTTGTCGGACACATATACTCAATCATCTGTGAGAGTTAACGGCTGCGGACCGTCTCGAACAGAACCCACGCACCCTTTCAAGACCCCCTCATTCTATTCTCTCATATATCAAAAGAGAAGCACCTGAGGCACTGAAGCAATAATGTAGTATAAATGAAATTTCCTGCAAGGCTTATTGATGTCATTAAACACAAGCATATTGCACTTCAGAACCATTTTAGTCTTCATCAGAGAGCTTGACATTTAGTGAATTAGGTACTGTTGAGCTGCCTGTATCTTCCTGCCGTCACTGCCGTCGCCGGTTCCGCCACGGTCTGTAGAGATATCTGTCATCTCATTTAGGCCCGCTGACCGCTGACGAGCGCTAATATCCCTTTGCATTAGCTCATTTGAGCCTAATGTACTTTTGGTGTTTGTAATCAAATAAGCAATAGCTTAGGCTATGCCTTGTGGCTTTAAATGAGTATGTAACCATTACGAGTGCATTATTACGCTATCTAAAGTTTTTTTTTTTTCTCTCTCTCTCTCCCCCCCCCAATTCATATGCACATTTGTTGTATTGATTATCTGCATATGAAGTCACAGATCATAGTTTGATTGGATCTTTAGAATCCTATTAATATATTAAAATTTGATCTAGTCTAAACCAGTGGTTCTCAAATGGCTTACTTCAGGACTTCAGATTGTACATTGAACATTTTTGTCGACCCTACATAGTACTGGAATTGTTCATTGCGTAAAATATACAGAGTTTAAACTTGGAAGTGTATTAACTAATGTTTGATCATTTTTAGTTGAGATGTGTTCAGATGTTGTTGCTTTTAGAAACTTGACTTGTCTTTATACTTTATAATTTATAGTGAGTTTTTTGTTTGAAATGTCCTTATATTCAGTTTCATTTTCTTCAGGCAGGCATTTAGAATACATCAAAAGAATGTGCTACCACTTTGTTACCATTTAAATTGTATTTTGTATATACTATATACATGTGTGTGTGTGTATATATATATATATATATATATATATATAT